GCAACGGAGTGGGGGTGCGTGGGGGAGGGGATATGGGGGAGGAGATGGAAGGGTGGACAGTAAAGGACATAAATGAAAGAGTAGCAAGGAGATGTGGTGTGAAAGGCAGACTGAAGGTTCGGGGAGAAAAAGAGTTGTACCAGAATGATGCCTTAGGCAGCCAAATCACTAAATGTCTCTGCACACAGACCATATGGTGATAAAATCTAGCCTGTCTGAGTGTGCTTTACAAATGGGTGCTGCAAAAAAGCACACAAACAAACACTGTATGACTCTGAATACCACAATAGCCTTTCATGTGCAATCACCTGCTAATGTGATAGGAGCATTTTCATGAAAAAAAAAACAAAGTAAATATTTAATTTTTGTGTAGGCAATGCAATAAAAATCCAGGGTTTTAGGTTAAACTATGGTGGCCGAGAGAACTTGACGTGCTGCAAAAAAAAAAAAAAAAAACTTTTTAAAGGGTCAGAAAACACCAAAACACATTTTTTTGAGATTTTGACAGTGATATGTCCCACGTTGCTAAAAACATTATTAGGACACATATATTTTAACAAAAAGTGAAAATTGGTAGTTTTTGAGTTATATCCAGCAAATTCTGTCTTCCGGTTTGAAAATAAATTTTGAAACAACGTCACAGCGATTAGATCCTTATGTGTATTCCAGCAGGTAGACTGGATGTCTGTACTGGCAAGAACAATGTGATGTATTTGAGCTTTCAGCATTAATTCTTGAGAAAGAGTTTTTCCAGACCGCCAATAAGCACGCTCTATTGTGAATCAGGTGCAACTTCATTAATATGCATGATAGCTTCGAAGACTGTTTTTACCTGTTACAGTGTTCAGACGGCAGAGAGACGCTATGTTGTGTTGCCAACTGAAATTCAAACAAGTGGAAGAAGAAGAATTGTTCAGAGACATGGGTCGTCAGTACGTTAATATCACTACAACATTATGGGCTGAAACATCCTCTGTAAATGCTGCTCTCCGAATGTAAACATCTTAAACAAACTATTACCATCCTGTAGGATTTTGCCGCATTTGGTGACAGGATAGTCTTTGGCCCAATCCCAATTCTACCCCTTAGCCCTTCCCCTTACCCCTACCCTTCATTTTGTGTGTTGCCGTGAAGAGGTAGGAGTGTCCCAATTCTCTTCAGCTTGAAGGTGTAGGGCTAAGAAGAAATGGGGTAGAAAACTGCAATTTTTCAGGACCACACTCAAAACCAAGGGGAAATTTTTTTTTTCCCCAAGAATACACCAGACACAAAGGCCGAATAGCTACATCCGGAAGTAAGGAGATCAACAAATAAGTATTTTTTGTCATTATTACACATTTTTACAACACACAAGCAAATGTTGTAATATATTCAATACCGTATTCGTGTTTTACCATCATGCTTTAAAAAAAAATAAATAAATTAAAACCACTAAATTTGGTATCTATAATCCCTAATAACAACTTCTGTATAGCAGTCCCACAACATTCTGGCACTTGATGACACTTGAAAACCCTGTCAGAAAAGTGTAGTGGCTGGAATTTACTTTTTTACAGTGTTTGCTATAATGTTAATGTTGTTTTGGTGTGTTTACATAAAAGAATATGGCCACTGAGTGAATGCACAGTATAGTTACGATCTTATTGCCACATTAGATCCTTATGATGACATAATATATGCCTTCAGTGATGTCTTGAAGATAAATACCAAAAAATAAAGCAACTGGAAAAACTACAGCATTCGCGATCGTCTGATCTCATATGAAGCAAGAGATCGCGATGACATGATGACGTGTGCAGGTGCTGTAGTGCTGTCCCAATTCTTAGAGGTAAATTTTGAAGCCCTTCCCCTTTACACTCGGTTTTAAGGGCCAAGGGGAAGGGAAAGAGAAAGGGTTAAGGACAAAAGTAGAATTGGGATTGGGCCTATACACAAACGGCTTTCTGACGCAACATACCGAGTGGATCCAAGTTACCGAGAAATGCGGAGGGTTTTTTTTTTCTCCCATTCACCATGCGGCATCAATCATTCTATTAAAACTAAACCCTTCCAGCAGTTTCTTACATCCAATATCTCGTTTGATATAAAATGATATAAAATGAAAGTGAAAGTGCCAAACTGCAGTTTAAGTCGACAACTTAGTAATTTGGCAAATCATTTAATTACTGATGTCCATGTAAACATAGTCACTGTCTTTCTCCTCTGTGTGTGTGTGTGTGTGTGTGTGTGTGTGTGTGTGTGTGTGTGTGTTGTTTTGCCTCTGAAAATCAGCGCCTGCCCAAACCGAAACTCCAATTTTTATGCAAAACCTTGCCTCTTTCCCTCCCCCAACACTCCCCCCTAAACAAACAAAGCTGGACTCACCCACTTTCCTGACTTTTTTCAAACTAGAGGTGTGAAAACACCCTGCTGAGAGAGGGGGGTTATGTTGCCCTTTAAATGGTGTAAATAAATGTAGTCAAGGTCATCAAGTCATATTAAGTCATGCTTTTTACTTAAGTAGATCTGTTAAGGGAATACTTTTGTCCTTGTGACTTTTTGCTATTTTTTATGTTCCCCAGATAAAAGATAGTTAGGTTTGGAACAACATGGGGTTGAGGAAGTGATATCAGAACGTCTCTACTTTGGTCAGTTTTTAAGGGTTTAATACGATGTCCAAGAGAGCTTAACGTGCTGTTTTAAGAAAACACGTGCAATTACAAAAAACACCTGCTAACTGAGAAAAGATCTTCATCAGTTTGACAGCACACATTTCTAAAACACGTGCTGCATTTTCTCACAACACAAACAGTTAATAAAACGCAGTGCAAAACACAAAAAGATTGGAACACAACGGAAATGTTTCCAGGAGACCCAAAAATGTAAAGGATACCGCTGTGCCGTGACTATTGCTCAGTGAAGTTGTATGTGATCTCTGAAAGGTGAGTTTTTTTGTTGTTTATTTTAATATCCCAATTTCTGTGTCTTCGGAATTTATTAGCCTAAATAAAAATAACCTAAATAGCCAGGTCCGCTATGTTTTAGGGTCTCCTTGAAACATTTCCGTTGCGAGAAAATGCAGTGAGTTTTCATAAAATGTTTGTAGAATTTGCTGCCGTTTTTTGTAATTGCACGTATTTTTTTAAATTGCAGAGTGTTAAGCTCTCTCTGCCACCTCATTAAACCCTTAAAAATCGGACTTAAGGAAAGACGTTCTGATATCACTTCATCCCCCTCATGTTGGTCCAAAACTCAAGTTCATCTGTGAAACATAAAAAAAAATTATCCATACAAAAAAGCCACAAGGACAACAGTATTTGCTTGACAGATCTACTTAAGCAAAAAACATGCCTTAATATGACTTGATGAACTTGACTACATTTATTTACACCATTTAAAAGGACATTTTAAAGGCCAGATCAGGTTGAAAAAACTGTTACCGCACAGAAATTGTCATTTAAAGATTTTAATTCTAGTGGCATTTCAAATGATGTCAACATGTGTAGGTGACACTGCTTGTTCCCTCTTAAAGGGATAATTCACCCAAGAATTCTGCTATCATTTACTCATCCTTCACTTGCTAAAAACCTAATTGAGTTTCTTTCTTCTGTTAAACACAAGAGTTTTTTTTTTATTGACTACTATAGTATTTTATTCCTACTATAAAAGTTGATGGATCCCAGCAACCAGCATTCTTCAAACAAAAGAAATAAACTCATAAAGGTTTAAAACTACACGAGGGAGAATACATGATCTCTTAATTGCTATAAAGTAACAATTTCTTGGCTTCCTAAACACCATGGTGAGTAAAAAATTCTTAAAAGCACAATTTTTACTAATAATCTTAAGAAGGTTTAATTGAATTGAAAGACTCCATGTGTGTTCATGTTAATGGTAATAAAGAACCTCCACTTTTAAGTTTTCCTCCTCTGAAGATGACACTTTGGAATGAACGTGCCATCTCTCCATTATTCATCGGAATGGGGGCATCTTGCAATTAATATGTGTGTGACAGAGAAAGACAGAGATGTGACGGGGGAGGGTAAAGGATGGAGGAACGGTCATGGCTGGGGGTGGAGAGAATTCTTTAACATTATTACGTTAGAAATGCCCATCCCCCTGTAGGTTACATATCATGACTAACACAGAGGGGGGAAAAATCCCTTCACCTTTGAAGGGGTCATGGGTCATGGGAAATCACATCCACCAATTAGAAGGAATGTAAGATTGCTGTATCTGCTTGACTGTAAGTGATAGGTTCAAGGGCTGTTGATGTTGAGTTATATGATAAAATCAGGTTGAGTCTTGTGCTGACTGGCTCACTGGTCACAAAATTAAAACATACTAAAATGAATAACTACCTAACCAATCTCTTTAGATGCATCCAAAAACAAACATGCTTTTTTAAAATAGAAATCAAACAATTGCTTTTCAATTGCTTAACCTCTCTTCTGAGTATTGCAGGCCAGAGAATTATAATGTTTCAGTTAAAATCCAGCTTAGGCTCAATAATGTAGCACTAGTGAGAAATATCTAGCCTAAATAAACCTGAAAGGAGCTCTGATGACCATGGTTTTTACTCTAAATTGCTTTTGTAGTTAAGCATTTTGCTGCACTAACCATACTGTAACCATGGTATTTTTGCAATAAAACCGTCAGTATAAATGATAATCAAGGTAAAAACTATGATTACAGCACTTTTACTATAATAAAACCATGGTTAATATTCATCGACACTATATAAGATATGCCCAATGTGACACCAACAGAACTGAACTGAATAGAGTTCAGCAGGTCAACTTTCCATAACTTCAGCACCATGGACAGAGGACAACCTGCTACAGATGCAGTCAAAGCTATATGGGCTAACTTAAAAGTGCTAATAATGAAAACACCAACTGAAGGTTGGACACTGAACTATTCCACACACCAATAGTGAAACCACATTCGTTTTCCTCACAGCAAAAGCAATATGTGGATAAATAAATAGAAATAAATCACAGTAAAGCTGGCAATCTTACCTACACGATAGTTAAAATTGAACCAGAGCACATCTGCAGAAGTGACGATGCTTGAACGAGACGTGCACGAGCTTTATGAAGGAGTTTTAAACGAACTGTTAGGGAATCCGTGAAGTGACTTTCGACGACTTTTTGCGTCTTATACGAGAATTAATAGGAAAACAACAAATGCCCTGTGGTAACACGTATTGTCTCACGCTAGTCGAATTCTTGATAAAAGAAAAATGTTCCACTTTTTATATCCTTTTTTGCAGAGTTACCAACATCCTGAATGACCGTTCATAAACAGTTCCTTAAAGGTGAGGGAGAAGACAAGCTCGGAGATCTCATATAGTCAATCGGAGCAGAAAAAAACTTGTTGAGGCGACCAAAAGTCCTTTTCAACACGTAGTCCTATTTAAAAAACGTCGGCGTTTAAAACAATGACCTGTCAGAAAAGGTCCACAAGATGAAGTGTCGTTTAAACGCTGTTCCTTTAAACGTCCTCAACCGCACCATGAAAACCTTCGCAGCTCCATATCACAATGCGTCTCTCAAGCTTCACATTTGCTGGAGATGTCAGTGTCTTTTTTATTCCTCCTCCTCCTCCTTGAGCCAGAAATTACTGTGGACTGTGAAAGCTCAGCTTGTTTGTTCTCAGAGCTCGCGTCGCCGATCTGCCGTATGTTTGGTGTCGCGCGCTCTTTCTTTCTCTCTTTCTTTCCCGCGAGATAATTGCTGCTGTTTGTCTCGTGCAGCTGAAGTGCGCTGTAAATTTGCTCTCGCGCGGGAGTGGGATGAGACGGTTTTACAGTTCCGGCCACTGACTGACGATATGCGGCTATCAGGAACTGTGATGTGAGTTCAACGAATTCAGAAGCGTCATAAATTCATCAGAGCTCCTGGAAGGCGTTAAGATAACGCCTCGCTGCTCAATTAAGTCGTTATATTGCTTGTTAACCTGTCTGAGGTCACGTTATAATATAGATAATGCTGTTACTTATTAAATCAACATTTTTGTTTTCTAATATGTGCTATCAAACATTGTATTGATAATAATAGCACTACTACTAATAATAGTGATTATAAGTGACACTTTCACTAATTGCTGATTGGATGGTTAAACATTCATTCATTTTCCTTTTCCTTAGTCTCTTGTTCAGAGGTCGCCACAGCGGAATGAACCACCAACTCTTTCGCAATATGTTTTACCAACACAGTCTTACGGCATTTCGTAACTTTTTGATTTACTGGCTAATTCATACAATTTAGTACGATTTGCTTATCCCCCAATGACGGTTGGGGTTAGGAGTGGGGTTAGGTACCACGTCTCCTTTTTAAAATCGTACAATTTCGTACAACTTAACTCGTAAGAATTTGTATGAATTAGCCACTAAACTAGCAAAGCTACTTACGTTTTCTGGTGAGATCAGGCTGGTTTAACGCAACGGATGCCCTTCCAGCCACAACCCAGTACTGAGAAACACCCATACACTCTCACATTCACACACTCATACACTACGGCCAATTTAGTTTATTCAATTCACCTATACTGCAAGTCTGAGGACTGTGGAGGAAACTGGAGCATCCGGAGGAAACCCACGCAAAGAACATGCAAACTCCACACAGAAATGCCAACTCAGCCAGGGCTCAAACCAGCGACCTTCTTGCTTTGAGGCGACAGTGCTAACCACTGAGCCACCATGCTGCCCCAGAAGTTTAAACAGTGAAATGTTTTCTTATCTTATATTATAAATAGGGAAAACTATATGAAGTAAGTTATTTGAAGCAATACCCTTCATGAAATGATAGTTCCTAGTCTAAATTCAGACTGGATGATGAAGAAATACATACTCAGCTAACATCAGTTTCTTGCTACTTCCTGTTTATTAGCCAGAAACATCAATAAAACATTCTTAGGTATAAGAGGAACATTCTCATAAAATTCGCCCCCTTGAAGTTAACAAATAAAAGAAAAAAGACTTGTAAGGTTAGTTTTTGATTACCAGTCAAGAACCCACAGATAACATTCATAAAATGTTCTCATTTGGTTTTGAAAAAAACAAAAAACAAAACGGGAATCAAACAAGAACCATTCGGAAAAATCCATTTTGTGTTTGCTGGGCAGTTAGCATGATAAACAATATTACTTAAAGGATATATACCTTTGATGAAAATCATCTGTTGTAAGCTGTTTGGACAGAACTGTGTGCAAGTATAGTGTGTCCGCAGTCATAGTAAATTCTGAAAACTGGACTGACACTGTTTCAATTTAATATAATCTTCTATGTTAACCTGCTTTGACAAAATCTACATTGTGCGCTATAGAAATACAGAAGAATTGAATGTTCACAACGTGACGTAGGAGTACAGTTTCCCCGCCCACCAAATTGATTGACAGCCACGTATTAACATGTCTCTGTAGTAACTTATATAATCACATCAACAAGACAGGACGTGTGCAAAGCAACCGGGATTAAAAGATCTGATCAACTCTCTGTGATCATCAATCATCATCAAATGTGATCAAGAATGAGTTTTACAAGTTTAAAATGTTTTTAAAATGTAGTTTGTAGTAAATTACAGCTATTTTAGCACAGGGTTCTTCGGGAATGACGTCCAGAATGGGATTTAAGACCAGACAAAGAGCTAACTGAAACACAGGGATATAAATACACAGGACATAACTGAACTTATACCAAACATGGAGAGAAACACAGGTGAAACTACTGAACATCAAGAAACTGTTTATAGTCAACAGCACATATAATTCTTTGCTGGAGCGATTACCGTTGAGAATTACACCCGCACAGTCTTTCTCTTGCATAAAAAACGTTGACATAAGTCGCAGAACAAAGGGATCACATTATAAAAAACAAACACGTAAGGAACATGGAAACATGGGGAAAAAGTCATGAAAAACACAAGAACCTTAAATGTGTGCAACAATACGCTGGTTTGAGCCTCAATTGGCATTTCTGTGTGGAGTTTGCATGTTCTCCCCGTATTCACGTGGGTTTCTTCCTGGTGCTCCAGTGTCCCCCACAGTCCAAAGACATGTGGTATAGGTGAATTGGGTAAGCTAAATTGTCCGTAGTGTATGTGTTTGTATGAAAGTTTCCCAGTGATGGGTTGCAGCTGGAAGGGAATCCTGTGTAAAAACATGTGCTGGATAAGTTGGCGGTTCATTCGGCTGTGGCGACCCCAGTTTAATAAAGGGACTAAGCAGAAAAGAAAATGAATAAATGAATACTATTTTAAGTTTGGTTTATTTATCAACTAATTTTGAGAGGATCACATGCTTATCAATGAACACAGCTGGTACCGCATCAGCTCAGTATATTGCACCAATCAGATGTATACCGACACACTATAAATAACCAGAGCTTTTCACTCCAGTAATCTTTCTCTTAAAGAATCCCCCCTTCCACCCCTACTACTACCCTTCTCTGATAGGGTGGCACGGTGGCCCAGTGGTTTGCACTGTTGCCCTACAACAGGAACGCCGCTGGACCAAGCCAGTCTGCGTTTCTGTGCGGAGTTTGCATGTTCTCACCGTGTTTTCCCTGGGTTTTCTGGTTTCCTCCCACCGTCTAAAGACATACTGTACACCTTAAGTAAATTGACTACTCCAAAATAGCATCTTAAGACAACTCTTAGGCAGATATATCTCTGCACGTTCACAAGCAAAGAAGTTCTCAAGACCTACCTCTCGCCCTTCAAACATGAGGGAGCCCCAGGCTCGAAGATATTCTGAGCTCAGGGCTCTTTCCTGGGACTGCATGCCAAATATGCTTTATTATCAATCATCAGCTAAGTGTGAACTCTTGAAAAAGTTATTGGAGTTATTTTTTGGAGACACTATTGTCTCAGTTTTCTGAAGTGTTATTGGCATCCAAAGTCCCAAACACACATCACTGACTGAGTCAAAATGATCTAACAAAACAAATACATGTAGCTGATAACACAATTACACTATTAATTGTGTGTGTCTGTGAAACTAGGCTTATATTTACTTATACAGTAAGTACAGTACAGTATTTAAAAAGTTGTTTTTATTGTCATGGATATCATAATTTACACGTTAAACCTTATATTTGTTCCTCAATAAGTGTTTACTGCATTGCTTAATTTACAAAAGCAGTGTTTCACATCTTCGTTTTTCTGAGGCACATCAACGAGGCCCACGGCAGCTGTTGTGAAGTGCCATAAAACTGAGTGTAAGTCATATTTCCATTTCTCATTGATTGCTGTTTCCCGATTTGCAATTTGATGGAACCAGTGGCTGTTTATAGTCAACAGCGCATATAATTCTTTGCTGGAGCGATGAGCGTTGAGAATCACACCCATACAGTCTTCCTCTTGCACAAAAACGTTGTCATAAGATGCACTGTGCAGATGATCATGTCATGCCAGCCACTGATTTCCTTCTGCCTCTTATCTTAAGTCTGGCCGTGAGGTTGTTCTGAAGACTGAACAAAAGAGCCGCACAGTGGAGCTGGATGAGGGCCAAGATAAGCAGTAGCCCATCTGTAAGGCCTGCTCATTGATTTTGGCCAACATGATAATGACTGGTAGGATCCACACAGCAAAGGCTCAGCTGTAATGTGCCTGCCTGGCCTCCAGCTGAAGGCACACAATGAGCTCTCTGGATTAATAGTGGTGATGCGGAGAGGAATACCAACTAAATCTAGATTTTTTTTTGTTGTCAAGACAGACTTTGATGTTGGCTTGAGGAAGCCTGAACAGAAAATCTAAAGTACTTTTAAAAGCTTTAAGTTTGCAGGTGAAAAAAAAAAAACAGACTGGATAAAAAACAGCAGATCCTGGTAGGTTTTGTTTTGAGCTGGTTATTTACAAGTCATTTGCCTGCCAGGACCTCTTTAGGACCAGAAACAAAAAGCGATTAAAGCAGTTCATGACAAGCTTGAACCAAACCAGCATATTCTTTTTTTTATTTCAACAGTATTCTGTATTGTTTTCAAATAAATTTTAATATTATTGTTTTAATAATTTTAAAAGATAATGTTTTCAACCCATGTGAACACGGGAAGAACATGCAAACTCCACACAGAAATGACAGCTAGCCCAGCCGGAGCTCGAACCAGCGACCTTCTTACTGTGAGGTGACAGTACTAACCACTGAGCCACCGTGCCACACTTATTTTAATTTAATACTTATTTTTATAAGTACCTAGTAGTTATGGCCACTTAATATTAAGTAGGAGCAATATACCTTGCTAAAATGTTAATAGCAAACATATTTTGTTCTTTATTTTTGCAATAGTTATTAAATTAAGTTTTTCACTTAAAAATTTGGTTCCATTTTTCAAAAGTAACCAAACAGCACTATACTAAATAATATATATATACAGTATATATATACAGTATACCGGTTAGCATAATATCTTTTAAACACAGTCCCAGCCGTGCCGTCCAAACTAAATAAATATCTATACTATCTATACTGGAAAAGGTTTTATGAAACTGAAAATAGTCACATCAATCATTTGCCAGAAGATTTCATATAACACTTCAGTGCACATAATCCATTTATAATCCAAAACAATCTACATCAGCTCTGCGTGACTAAAATAGTTTTAAAACATAACATTACCTGTCTAAAAGAAATACTTCAGCCCTGGTGTCATCCTTACTCCACTTAAACTTAAAAAGTTTTGATTCAGCATTTGATTTTACTGCGACTGTGTCTCGTGTGCACATGAACATGCGGATGGTGGATCTGCGTGACCAGAGATGCGCAGTCGTTCAAATCTACATTTGTTGACAGACAGTTTGGGCTACTGATCAGAATTATGGGAATTGACAACCTAACAATATTTAATTAGACAAACATTTTTTTAGTTT